CACATTTTTGTCAATAAAATACTGCTGTCCCAGTAACACAGTTATGTCAAAGGTGTATTTATGTCAATGAGGTGGGATTTAATAAATGACATCATTGTCCCTTTAAAGTCCTTATAAACTGTTTGTTTTGACCTTATGAACCACATATTTGCCCAAATTCAAAATGTCCAGTTGGTGTGTTTTAGATTTGATTCATTTCCACACAGAGTGTAAGAGCTTTGAAGTGACCCATTTTTCCCCCATACTTTTTAGAACAGCGCAGCCATACATTCAGGAGTCCAGGACCTGTGGAAAGACTACTTCGTCTAGCAGTGTTTGAGAAAAGGGGAAAGCATACCACCCATACCAGTATGTGTATGTGTGTGTGTGTTTGTAAATCTTACCTTTTTCCATCGTCTAATGATTTTGATTGTCTGCTAATTTGATAATGTCCTGATTTAATCTTTGCTACAGAGCTTGCAGCACTTTTCTCTGATGATGCTCAAGGTAAGAAGTTGTTTTCTTTCTCTTTTATAATATATAAACTATCCACACTCTAAGTTACAATTAACATTACATTTTCTCTGTATTTATCTTGTACATATGTAACAATTAATTCTATGTACCTGCACTGTAAGATGAGTAGCTTGTCTCAAATTGTGGCTGCATGAAGAGTAGTTTTAACACTGGCTAAAGTGTGCTATTATCAGAAAGACACCAAAAGCCTCTAATATTGGGCAGAATAAATATGAGAAGAAATAAAAAGAAGAAAAAAACCTAGTACAAAATAAAGACTACAAATTTAAGTTGCTTACATAATTATTAATGCATGTGTTGTTGTCTTACAAACAGCAACACATGCATAAATAGTGACCCAGTTAGCTCATTTGCATTTATTCTTATGTTATAAAGACCAACGTTGTTGTTTTTTTCATCTCCTAAATGGATATTTTTTATGTAAACAGTTCATATTCAGTTTATTGAGGTCCTAGACCCAGCTGGACTCATGATAAAACAGCCACTGTTATATGTGGTGTTAGGGAAAGCTAACAAACTCAGAGTTATACATACCCCTAACATCCGAATTTGGACAATTTCAGTTCAAGTTATTATTTTGGCAGAATAAGTTGAACATTGTGTTTTATGCTGCTTTTTCACACTGTTTTGTATTTGTTGTGAAGATAAAATAACTGAAACAACAGCTTTTAAAATAAATATCTCTCTCTTTGCTTTTCTCTAAATACTATTGGAAAAGTTAAGTACCCTTTTGACACACCCACTGCCATACTGAGACCAATGACGTATGAGATACCACTAGGGGGCAACGTGACACTGAGCTGCTTTGTGGGGGGCTCTGACAACTGGACCATTTTGTGGTACCGAGCTGCCACATATGGCTCTAAAGACGAGCCGATGACAGAATATGAAGGGAAGAAAGCTATTAATGTGTCACAAGGAGGTATCTACCACTGCAGAGGAAGAAGCGATTCAGGTAGCATCACACACCAAAGTAATGCTGCCATCATTGAAGACACTCGTAAGTTCTGCTATTTATCTCTTAGCCATGGAAGTTAAAGTTATGTGATCTGTCCTTAGTTTTGTATATAATGCAATTGTTGGCATCATTTGGCGCTATGTAAATAAATTTAATTGGACTGAATTAGATGATGCTTCTGTTTTTCTTTAAATTTAATATTTTATGTGAACAGTTCCTATTACGGCCATTTTGACCCTGAAGCCCAACTGGACTAAGATATACATGGGTGAAACATTCACTGTCAGATGTGACATCCAGGGAGGTGAAGGAACTTACTGGAGCTATGATTGGAGACCAAAAAGGTTTACCACATATTATACAACCAATGAAAGAACATTCTACAATGTTGGTTGGGAAGACAATGGAGACTATCAATGCAGAGGCAAAACAGATCTTTCCTTCACACAGTGGAGTAATGTCATTCCAGTATCTGTATCATGTAAGTTGGCCATCTTTCATCCATATAAACTGTTTCATCCAAATTAGCATTAAAAAAAGACATTCGATAACTTGTCTGTGCAGATTCTCATTCATCCAGGACATGGTAATCTAAGGAGCGTGGAAAGAAAAGCAACTCGACTTCTTTAAGTTTCTTCAAGAGACTTAAAGAAGTCCAGTCACTTGACTGATTCATTAAATAATGACCCAGTATTTTGAGTTTGTTCTGAACGTATGATTCTTTGCCTTGGAGTTAAGAAATTATGTATGTTCTAGTTCTAGAATGTGTTTTTTTTCTGAATTTGGTAGCTATAGCACTGGACTTCTTGTTTTATGTTGGTTCCCTCTTTCATGTCTAGTCTGTCCTTGTCTGATCTCCATGTTCTGTCTTCAGCATCTTTGTGCAAATTTCCCTTTTTTTTACTCCCTCCCAGTCTGTCACATCTAAATGTCGTGTTTTTCCAGTTGTATCTCAGTGTCTGTTATTGTGTTCTCCAGTGTGTAACTTTATGTGTGCCACACACAGCTTATTGTGACATGGTGTGGTTCAAATGACAACAATAAAATTAGTATTATGTATGACAGTGGTACAGTTTGTAATTCCACTGTCAAGATTTGGTGATATTTATTTACATGTTTTCATCCAGTTATTTAAATGTTTTTATTCAAAAGTGAACAGACACTAAACTAGAGTGATAAGATTAGTGTTCAAAAGGGCAGAGTGAACCTGGCCTGATTTGCAGAACCATCGTCCAGCAATAATATTTAAAAAAATACATAAATAAAAAAGCCTAATCTAAAAAAAAAAATTGTAATAATAAAAAATCTTGTTTCAACAGTTAAACTGCATCCTGTCCTCACTGTGTCTCCCTCATGGCTCAGTCCTGGAGCCTCAGTAACTCTGAACTGTGAGGTTGAATATCCTTCTGAAGGATGGAGCTTCTCCTGGTATAAAGCTGTTCCTTATTATAAAATAACAGAGGAGCCCTACACATATGAGCTGCTACCTGATGGCAGCAAGACTGCTCAGAGTTCGTACATCATTACTGGGCAGACAAGCACAGCAGCATATGTGTGCAGAGCAGAAAGAGGAAGCAACTACTACTACACCTACTACAGTGATCCAAAGTTTGTCTGGTCTGCTGGTCAGTTTCTTTCTGTCTCTCAATACTTGTAATGATGCTTAGTTTTTATGTGTTCTTCCTGTGCTTTCACTTATTGATCCATGTTGTTTTTCAGATGCTTCATCAGCAGCGTCTCTCACAGTCGGCCCTGTAGTGCAAAGATTAGGCTATGACTTTGTCAAACTGACTTGTAAGGGAAACTCTTCTTCATGGAGAGTGAGGAAGTTCCCAGAGAATGGCCGGCCATATTGTAGCAACTTTTGGCAGTCAGGAGAATCTGTATGCACAATTGACACAACATATTCAGATGACGGAGTGTACTGGTGTGAGTCTATGTTAAAAGAGTTCAGCAATGCAGTCAACATCACTTTACAAGGTTTGTAGAATGGTTTTTTTTTCCCTTTTGTGTTATTAGTTTCATGAATATTTCTATCACTATGTATGTTAAGCGATTCTTTCATGGAAAAAGAGGCAGAAATGTAAAGATTATTTTATTTGTGGAATCTCAACTCAGCAGCATAATACTCTTGTTTTTTTATTTCATTATGTTTCATAAATTAATTTACCAAAATTTTTGAAGTACCAGCAGTAAATACACATTTCATATTTCCTTTTTTGAAATGAACAATTAAGGAGCAACATATCCATCCATCCATCCATCCATCCATCCATCCATCCATCCATCCATCCATCCATCCATCCATCCATACATCCATACATCCATCCATACATCCATACATCCATACATACATAAGATTATGATGTAATTGTACTCCCCATACAAGCAGATGGAGTTTGAGAAGTTGGAGCTGAGGCTGAATAGTATCTCAGATCTCACTGGGACAGAGTACACACTTGACAGTTGAAAGGGCTCTATGAGCTAAAAGAAAGGATGATTTTGGGGTTTTATTTTATAAGTCGC